GGTAAGAGTGCGATAAGACGTTTCGGTCCATTAAGTCATATAAGCCTTAACTCAACACCGCGACAGAACCTCGTCAGCGTGACGGTTGCAGTGCTTAATAGAGAAGGAAAAGAAAGGAGAAAGACAACAGAAAGAAGTATAGGGGAAAACGATAAGAATGCGCGACTAGATGGAATAAGAGTGGGGTAAAAAGGGAAGGAAAAAGGAAGAAAAAAGTTTTAAAAATAAAGTTTTTTTTTTAAAAAAAGTTTTTTGCTAATAAAAATTTCTGCCTCATCTATCTTAAACTTGGATCGCTATAATTCATAGTGTGGTTTACCAACTATCCGATTTTTTTAGCCAATGCTTTATCACTTACTGTTAACGCTGTTTTGTCTTTTGAGGACTTTAAAAACTTAGTGGGTCCCATCTTAGTAGCACTTGCCTGTGCTTTGGATTTTCGCTTTTCATTGAAATGTGCTTCTATTTGCTTTACTTTTATAGACGGATCCAGAGCGATTCCCATGGTCGGGGGAGGGGGGAGGGAATTTGGGAATTTTCTCCCCGCCCACCCCCTCCCCCCCTTTCCGCTCCCTCCTTGCCATTCTTCTTTACGTCGGAAGCCCCGCATTGCTGTAGAGAGTTTGAAAAGCAAAATAAATTGTAAATCGTTTGCTTGGATGATATGCAAGTTCGAAACAATACAAATTTTTCAGCCGGAAGATTTAATTCCAGTCCTGAATTTGAGTGATATTGAGACGGAAGTCGAAGATGCCGTTCGATCCGAATCTACTGCTACTGTCGTCGACGTATCGCCACGGGACATTGAATCCGCGAAACCGTCAAGGTTTGGTGTCACTTCAATTTTGAAAATGCGTGCCAGAGACTCAGCTTATGAGTGCTTGCAGATTTTTGCTGAACGACGAGCAATGGTTTTCCAGCGAAGTGCACAATTTCGCTGAGCAGATTTGGGATTTATTCATCAAAAAGCAGCATTTTGTTATCAGCCTAATTGGCGATGAAAATGCACCTGTATCACAGGAAACAAAAATGAGGTATCGGTTTTGTTATTAGAAAAATCTTCGAGAATTCGGCCATTATCTTGAGATTTATGAAAAACTTAGGGTACTGGCAGTTATTGCTTTTATAGTACTAATGATCAGGGGTTCGATCTCATTAGTGGTAAAATTATTGTTTCGATGATAAATTGATTCATCTAAATTGCAAGAATTTATCGACTTGCTTATATGTAGCTCTAAGAAGTACAGATACATCTCTGCTTGTGGATATCAACATTTTGGCA